CCACGTATGCGTGGTCGATTATCGGCTAGTGTCTTTCGGCATGCATACTGGTTACACAAATACAAAATCTCAGACACATTCAGACCTTTCTTTTTTCCTTTATATTCCTTCTCTCAATCAAACATACTTATTTACACAAAAACAAAAATGTTTTCCGCAGATATTTCATTTCATGCGTTCGGATATTATTGAATTACAATTAGAATTTCTTTTATATATATATATATATATATATATATATATATATATGTATTATATTACACTTTCTGTAAACTACAAGAATATCATCAACTTGCCCCATTCTCTGCAATTTCAGTAAGTTGACATTATTTGATTAAACTAACACATCTTTAAACCAATATATTAGTATAACAGTGATAGCGTTACTTTTTCCTTAATTACCTTAATGGTTTTGTTGAAGTTCCTCTGTGTTCTCTTTGCTCTGTATTTAGAAATTCTTTCTTTTCTTTCCTCCGCACTGTAACGCCCTACTTTGAAGTTCGATTCCTCCAACAACGGCGCCTCCGTTGGAGACATGTGATTTCCCTTCATGTTCTGCTCAAGAATTAAAACAAACTTCAACAAAACCAACTTTTAAAGAAAAATCATAAAAAAGAATAGCTAAACCATGTGGTGTTAATAACCATTAGGAGTTAAGTCTAAAAATCTAGTCTCCCAATTAAGGTTCAAAGTTTTACAAGAAAATACGATGGATTGATGCAGTGTTAGATATTCTGTATTCACACGGAGTTGGAATGATTTTTTTAGTAGAAAATTATGTTTGATTCTTAGCGGATGCAAAAACTTTTCTGATCAGTGACAGCGAGCGAGATTAGTATTTAACTTTGTTACCTGGGAAAAAAAAGAGTAGGAAAAGTATCTACATTTACCTGCAAATCTCCGGTGCTGCAAACCCTTCTCATTTGTCCACCGAAGAGACTGTCATCAGGGGAACTCATGTCATGCCTTTGAAAATTAGGAGAATCCAGGAGAGCATCACTATAAGGTTGTGACAGAAAACCGGGTTTTCCTTCAAAAGAGTTGCTACTGAAGCTCCTCTGCATGTACTTGGAGAAATTTTCGGCCCCACTATAGCTATGAGGAAGTAGTTGCTGAGCGTAGACACAGTCAACAGCCACTTGACATTCCTCACTCTTCACTTGGGAGCCATCAACAGCCGTGAAGCTTCCGAGTTCAGTGGCCAAGTTCTGGCCATTGGACAGAGGCTGCACGCGGTTGGCATGGTAAAGGCTGAGGCTTTCCAAGTGGGGAGGGGAGAAAGAGAAAAAAGAAGGGGAAAATGGGTCGAGAGAAGGAGGAGCATTTGAAGTGGGAGAATTGGGGAAGAAAGGAAGAGAGTCTGAGAGAAAAGGAAGGTCTCCAACTCCATCAGTGTTTGAATGATGTGTGTGGAAGCTGGTGTCAAAAGCATAGAGATCAGAAGACATAGAAACGAAATTCGTGGGAGAATAGAACCTCTCAAATTCACTAGTTGTGGGTTATTAGAGAAGAATAACAAATTTAGTTTATGTTTTGCTTGGTGACGGGTGCTATTTTGTCTATGTAGTTGTTGTTTCTCAAAGGCTCACTGACATGAACAAAGCGACAAAGCCAACTTGTTTCTTTCTCTCTCTGTGTCTGTCTTTAGTGACGTTGCCCAACACCACAGGTTGAGAGTTGAGAGCTGAGAGCAGTATAACCCAGGCTTGGATTTATAACCAATCATCCCTGCAAATTTGCCATCTTGTCCCTTTTCTTTCTTGTATTCTCCAAGGTTACCCGGTGGCTCCTTTTAAATTACCATAAATTTCCTAATCTGCCTTGCAACAGGGTCTAGTAGTACCTTTCTTTTTCTTTTCAATGGTCTTTTAGTTTTGAAATTTTATTTACGCCCAGAATTCTGCAAAAGTATTTCTTTTTGTTCTTTACTGTAATAGAATGACAGTGTATTTATCGAGCTTAACCATATAATGAGACACGCGCTTGCTTTCGACAAGATTATAAGGTCCTGTCGTCAGTATAAGGTCCCTACCATTCGACAACATTGATCAAATAAGATAATTTTTTTTATAAGAATTTAAGCCATGATAAATATTAATTTTCTATAGGTAATATTTTTATACAAAAATTATTTATATAATTTTTATATTGTGAACTAATAAAAAATTATTATATAATTTTAAAATTAATTATTATAGAAGTTAATACGTTAACATGCATAATATCACGTGATTGGATAATATTATATAAAAAAAATGACACTGTCAATGTATTTTTATTAAAATCTTTTTATATTTGAAGTTTTTTTTTTTAATCTTAGATCGAGATATCATTTTTCCCTTTTAAAATCTATACAACAAAACTATAATCTTGTGTATGAAAATTAATCCATAAATTATCCAAATGGAGATGCTATTGTATTTAAATATTTTTAATAGTAAGTATAATAGATTGAATTGAGATGTGAGGAAATATAATAAAATAAAGATATTCATTGCATAAATATTTTTTATGACGTAATCTGATTAATTTTGATGGAAAAAGTACTAAATAGAGTGAAATAAAATACAGAGAATTGGATTTTTTTTATATTTTAAAAATTAAATAATAAAAATATAACATTATTTCACTTTATTCTATCTCTTTCGTAAATCCAAACATAACCTCATGGAATCATTTTCATTTTTGCCAAAGAAAGAGCAAGCCCAAAATAAAATTACAGATAAACAACAGTCACTAATACACCCGTAAACAATCACAATAAACCACTACACCATTAACAATGACCATGATTTGGGGGAATTATAGTGAAATATGAATTTCCTTATCTTGTTAACTTGTACTTTGTTCTCATATCATAAATGTTAAAAACACACTTTTAACACATCACACTTTTATTAACCGAACTATTTAAAATCCTAAAATTTTATTACTTCCACCTCTTATTTGATATTTCTCTCTCTTAATTTGGTAGGTTTTGATAAGTTTTAATCAATAAAAGCATATACTAAAAAACAATATATTAAAAAATAATTTCCTAACATTCCTCTTAACATATTGGTTCCCTTCTATGTAAATGTGAAGATTTTCAAGTTATTAATCCTCTTTTAGCCTCAATATGTTTGTTCTAGAGTTTGTTTTTATACAAATTATAAGTGTTTTTTAGAGAGTCTTTTTACTGAAAATGAAGAGTTATTTTAGATATAGAAAGAAACTTCCAAAAACACTTTTAAACATGTATTTAAACACACTCTTCAAAACATGTAAGTCCTAATTAAGTTTTTGAGTTTTGTTGTTTCGTGGTTCTCCCTGATTTCCATCTTGAGAGTGATTTCAGTTTCTTGTTTGAGGCCCATGTTTAATGCTAGGCCCAAGTCTCACTGAACCTTCCACACAGAGTATCCATGTCTTTTTTCTACATTGGTCCAAAGCCTACCTAATTCCTATATGCACCTCGAACGGCTCTCCACCTGCTTGCAGAATTTGGATCTATCTAGGACCATTTTCCTTTTTCTTCTGATGCCTACTGGTGGCTGTTAGTGACTCGATAATATTTTACTTTTTTTCTTGTGGAACATGTCACTTGCTTGTTCCATTTATTTTAAAAATTACTTTAATTTATCTCGATTCACATAATTTAATAATTATTTCACTTCACCAAAATATTTTAATAAAGTATAGATAAAATTTATAAAAAAATTTACAAATATTATTTAAATAAACGTATAACTCCATTTTTAAAATATATTCAAAATTATTTTTAACACGATTTTTAAAATATTAATTATAAAAACCAATAACTTTATTGTATATGTTTTAGGTTATAATATTATATGTGTGAAGTATTTATTAATTTTGTTGATAATTAGTCACTAAAAAAATTAGTAGATCACTTTTACTTCATCAATAATTCTTTTCATTAATATATATATAATTTATAATTAAATAGTATTTCTGGTCTTATAAGTAATAAATTGATTTTTTAGTTCTAATTATAAATAATAATTATTAATTTTTAAAGCTTCTCAAAACTATATTTTAAATAAAATTTAAATTTATGATAGCACAAAATAAAAATAAGTATTTATTATTCATGAACGTAATATTTTAAAACACTTTAATCATTCTCTAAAATAATAGACATCTTAAAACAGAATTATATAT